GTTTAGTCCTGGTTTCCGGTTTAGTCCTGGTTTAGTGGTTTTAGGTTTACCCGGTCCAGGTTTAGTCCTGGTTCGGTCCAGGTTTAGTCCTGGTTTTCGGTCCAGGTTTAGTCCTGGTTTTAGTCCTGGTTTAGGTTTAGTCCAGGTTTAGTTTAGTCCTGGTTTAGTCCAGGTTTAGTCCTGGTTCGGTCTTGATGTGTCTTCATTATCTGGTGCAGACAGGAGCATGTGGGAGCGTTTACACTGACTTCCTGTGGTCCCGAGTGGAAACTGCTGCGGTCGGACCCAAACTCCCCCAGTGCACCAGGACCGAGAGGAGGAGGAGAGGAAGAACGAGAGGAGGAGAGGAGGAGAGGAAGAACGAGAGGAGGAGGAGAGGAGGAGGAGAGGAAGAACGAGAGGAGGAGGAGAGGAGGGAGGAGAGGAGGAGGAAGAGGAGGAGGAGAGGAAGAAACGAGAGGAGGAGGGAGGAGAGGAGGAGGAGAGGAAGAAGAGAGGAGAGGAGGAGAGGAGAGAGAGGAGAGAGGAGGAGAGGAGGAGAGGAGGAGGAGAGGAGGAAGAGGAGGAAGAGGAGGAGAGGAGGAGAGAGGAAGAGGAGGAGAGGAGGAGGAGAGGAAGAGGAGAGAGGAGGAGGAGAGGAGAGTGAGAGGAAGAACGAGAGGAGAGGAGAGAGGAGGAGGAGAACAGGTTTTGGGTGGTTCAGTCTTGGTTTAGTCCTGGTTTTGTCCTGGTTTAGTCCTGGTTTAGACCTGGTTTAGTCCTGGTTCAGTCCTGGTTTAGTCCTGGTTTAGTCCTGGTTTAGTCCTGGTTTACTGTGGGTTTTTTTTAAACAGTGTCACTAAAAACCGCAGGGAAAATGTGATCAATGTGACGAGGTCAAACCACGACTAATGAACCAGGGTGAAACCAGGACAACACCAGGACTGAACCAGGACTAAACCAGGTCTAAACCAGGTCTAAACCAGGATTAAACCAGGACTAAACCAGGTCTAAACCAGATCTAAACCAGGATTAAATCAGGACTAAACCAGGTCTAAACCAGGTCTGACACCTAAACCAGGTCTAAACCAGATCTAAACCAGGACCACACCAGGACTAAACCAGAGTTAGACCAGGGTTACACCAAGACTAAAACACGGTTAGACCAGGACCACGACTAGACCCAGACTAAACCAGGACTACACAAGAATTAGACCAGGACTAAAACACGGGTAGACCAGGACCATGCCAAGACCAAACCAGGACTAGACCCAGACTAAACCAGGACTACACAAGAATTAGACCAGGACTAAATGAGAGTTAGACGGGGACTACATCAGGACTAAACTAGGACTACATCAGGGTAAGACCAGGACTAGACCAGGGTTAAATCAAGACTAAAACACGGTTAAACCAGGACCACACCAAGACTAAACCATGACTAGACCCGGGTTAGACCAGGACTAAGCCAGTACTAAACCAAGACTACACCAGAATTAAACCAGGGTTAGACTAAGACTAAAACACGGTTAGACCAAGACCATGACTAGACCCAGACTAAACCAGACTACACCAGAGTTAGACCAGGACTACATCAGGACTAAACCAGGACTACATCAGGGTAAGACCAGGACCAGATCAAGACTACACCAGAACTAGACCAGGACTATAGCAGGACTCAAGCAGGACTACCCCAGTGTTAGACCAAGACTAAAACACGGTTAGACCAGGACCAAGCCAAGACCAAACCAGGACTCAAGCAGGACTAAACTGGGATGAGTAGAACCTGGGGACGTCTGGTAATTTGCAAATTACCGCCCGTCTCTGTGTTAATTAACGAAGTCCGTAAATGACTTGATTTTACTGACACTGACTGAGACTGAAAGAGAAAAGAACGTGGAAAGAAAAGAAAGAGAAAGAAAAGTCACAATTTCAACAACAAACACTGAGACGCAGATTCACACAAGACGAGTGTCACCGGACGTCTGTGTTTGGAGAAAGACAGGAGTACTTTGAGACGAAATTTTTACTTTACAAATTATAGACATGACACATTCACATTGGATTAAGATCTCAGTTTTCCTCCAGAATACATGGATCACGAATTTTGAACTTCCGGTCATTCAGATCCTCCCAAAAAGTGAACGTCAAACCTCCATGTTTGTTTTCCCAGTGGGACGTGTCTGTTGACAAAGTCGATCTTTTCAAGTCTTTTGAACCATATCACTTTTGTTTCTGGTTCTGATATTGTCATATTTTAGTTTTGGGATTCGGACATCGTCATTGTTGTGGTTGTTGGATCCAAACAGCGGAAAACGACTCAAGAAATTTGTGTGCGAACTCCATAAATGGGCCCAGTCCAGCAGAAGTAAACAGCAAGGCAAAAGATTCAAGTTAATTCATCTGATATAAAAATGTATTGAACAGATACATATGTACTCTAGTTTATCAAACTGTTGACCTTTTTTTCTGTACCATTTTTGGTTCTAAAGTTCCATATGTTTTAAACAGACCATGTATGAAACATGGAACAAAAATTATTTCCCAAATTTCAAAGACCCAAAAATCATGTAAATAAATGGATGTATTTCATCATATCTTGTGTTATTCCATCTTTGAACTGTTGATGAAGGGACATGATTTTTTTTTTTTATTTAAAATGATAAAAATTTGCTTGGAAGGACTGACATATTTTATAGAAATAGTTTCCTTTCATTTTGAAGTAATATTAAAGTATTCAGAAGAAAAAAGCGACAAATGATGTAAAATCCTGCACCTTCTACTTGTTTGTACAATTTTCCCTCCGTTACTTTTCCCTCCGTTACCATGAACTTTCTTAATAAAAAATCTCATGAGTCAAAAAGTCAGAGGTTTTTCAACCTAATCTTGTACCATATGGTAGAAAACTATATGAAGCAAATATTCAAACCAGTTTGTTAAGGATATGTAAGTGAGAACCAAGAGTTATCACTGTTTGGATTTATTGCCCAAAAAGTGCTGCATATTTCATTCCCTCCGTTACCGACATGAGTTTTTACATTTTTTGTCTTGAACTTGAAAGAATATCACAGGTTTAACTTGACCCTGTTGGAGTGTAACTCTTTCCTACATTCTGATACTTTACTTATTTCAATAGTTCCTCTAGTTTCTGAATAAGAGACATTTGAATGTCAAAAATCTGACCCTGTTTCCCTCCGTTACCACTTGACCAGACCCAAATACAAAAGTGAATCAGATGTGTGTGACTCAAACCTCTGTTCAAACTGTTTCTCTTCCCAACGGAATTGAAAAATAGTGAAAGGTGAAGGTGATGGGCAGGATTGATCCACAGGAAGAACCAAAAAGGAAACATTTGTCTGACTAAGAAATCATCCTGAGTTTACAGAGAACATTTTGTATGTGGAGCGACGACAAAACAAAATCTCGATCCTTCGCTCAACCTCGGTTACGAATTTAAAAAGTCAACGCCAAAGTGAAAGGCTCCAACTGTTCACCAAGAAACACCTTCCACTGCAAAGAGACCAAGACGTGATGTTTCTGTAAAACCACAAGAACAAGAAAGTGCAGCTCAGTCTGTTTGTCTTCTGCTCCTCTACATTAACAAACGGGATTTTGTTTTGTTGTTGCTCCACATACAAAATGTTCTCTGTAAACTCAGGATGATTTCTTAGTCAGACAAATGTTTCCTTTTTGGTTCTTCCTGTGGATCAATCCTGCCCATCACCTTCACCTTTCACTATTTTTCAATTCTGTTGGGAAGAGAAACAGTTTGAACAGAGGTTTGAGTCACACACATCTGATTCACTTTTGCATTTATGAAGTTCACAAACACATTTCTCGAGTTGTTTTCCGCTGTTTAGGATCCAACAACCACAACAATTACGATGTCTGAATCCCAAAACTAAAATATGACAATATCAGAACCAGAAACAAAAGTGATATGGTTCAAAAGACTTGAAAAGATCGACTTTGTCAATAGACACATCCCACTGGGAAAACAAACATGGAGGTTTGATGCTCACTTTTTCAGAAAATCCTTCCCAGTGTGAATTGCACGATGACCAGAAGTCTGAGATTCGTGATGCTTGTATTATTAGAAATCTCCAAAGGTCCATAGGTCAAACTAATCCCATGTGAATAGGGCTTTAACAAATAAACGTAATTAATCATCTATGTAATAAACTATACAAGCACGTCTCTGTGTTTGTAATAGTTTTTAGTTGAAATTATGTTTTCAGCAGCTGCAGTTGAAACAAAACAACTCTCCAGTTCTCATTAATACAGATAAATACACATCAGATTTACCATTTGAACGTGAAGTGCTTGAGTGAGGCTGTTTCTTTGTTTATTAAGTTTATGAATTTCACAATTTGCAGTTAAGACGGTGGGGTTTTTCTCCGTGTTCTCGGGCCGCTCCCTCTCCTCCAACGCACCCGTTTCCATAAATTGATGTGTTGAGTTTTCATTCATTTATGTGCTGCGATGTTTACCTCCTCTGTGGCTCGATGAACGCGCTCAATACAGATTTACATCCAACTCAGAACACACAGTCTGGGTTTATAAGGCTTTCAGTAAAATAAAACAGTCGTGGAAAGGCTCAGAAGATGCAGAGGAGAAGGTCAGAGGAACAGAGGAGAAGGTCAGAGGAGCAGAGGAGAAGGTCAGAGGAGGTGCAGAGGAGAAGGTCAGAGGAGCAGAGGAGAAGGGTCAGAGGAGCAGAGGAGAAGGTCAGAGGAGCAGAGGAGAAGGTCAGAGGAGCAGAGGAGAAGGTCAGAGGAGCAGAGGAGAAGGTCAGAGGAGCAGAGGAAGGGTCAGAGGAGCAGAGAGGGTCAGAGGAGCAGAGGAGAAGGTCAGACGGAGCAGAGGAGAAGGTCAGGAGCAGAGGAGAAGGTCAGAGGAGCAGAGGAGAAGGTCAGAGGAGCAGAGGAGAAGGTCAGAGGAGCAGAGGAGAAGGTCAGAGGAGCAGAGGAGAAGGTCAGAGGAGCAGAGGAGAGGGTCAGAGGAGCAGATGATTCACTTACATGTTTGAGCTCCATCAGAACTTGTCTGGTCAGCTCGATCCTCTTCTTGTTCAGGTGTTTGATGGCCACCAGGTTCCCCTGCACGACACACGACACACGACATATGACACACGACACGTCAGTCCAGAAAACAACCATTTTTTTTTTTTTAAAATATACATTATATATATATATATTATATATATATATATATATATATATATATATATATATATATATATATATATATATATATATATATATATATATATATATATATATATATATATATATATATATATATATATATATATATATATACATATATATAAACAAAAATTGGTTCTTGGACCATAAAAATCCCTAACAACAACTATCTTTTAAAACATTTATTTGCAGAAGTCAAATGTGCTGGTGGAGTTTGTAAAGTGGAGCTGCAGGTTGAGTCGATAAAAATATGACAAACAGAAACAGCAGCGAGAGTCTGAGGTGTCGACGAGTGAACAAAACCTGTTTGCTGCTTCATTAAAATGAACGGGACGGACGTGTGTGTGTGTGTGTGTTTGTGTGTTTGTGTGTTTGTGTGTATCTGTGTGTGTGTCTGTGTGTGTGCGTGAGTTTGTGCGTGTGTGTGTTTGTGTGTATCTGTGTGTCTGTGTGTGTGCGTGTGTGTTTGTATGTGTGTGTTTGTATGTGTGTGTGTCTGCGTAAGTTTGCGTGTTGTGCATGTGTGAGTTGGGGGGTGTGTGTGTGTGCGTGTATGTGTGTGTGCCTGAGTTTGTGTGTCTATGTGTGCGTGTGTGTGTGTGTGACAGTGTGTGTGTGTGTGTGTGTGTGTGTGGAGCTGTTCTCATCCCGTCAGTGGATTTTTCTGCTCGAGTTTTTTCACACCACAAATGTTTGGAATAAAAAGGTAGAACTCTGAGTTCTTTTGTAATGCAGATGTGTGTGTGTGTGTGTGTGTGTGTGTGTGTGTGTGTGTGCTCAGCGCGAGCTTCTGCCCCCTGACGGAGCCACAGAGCCACGGAGCGACGGAGAGACAAATGGAAGCAAAGAATGAAGGAAAGAATGAAGGAGAGAGAAGAATGAAGGCGAGGAGGAGTGAAGGGGGCAGAGAGAGAGAGAGAGAGAGAGAGAGACGGAGAGAGTGTGTGAGGGAGAGAGTGTGTGAGGGAGAGAGTGTGTGAGGGAGAGAGTGTGTGAGGGAGAGAGTGTGTGAGGGAGAGAGTGTGTGGGGGAGAGAGGGAGAGAGTGTGTGAGGGAGAGAGTGTGTGAGGGAGAGAGTGTGTGAGTGGGAGAGAGTGTGTGAGGGAGAGAGTGTGTGAGGGAGAGAGTGTGTGAGGGAGAGAGTGTGTGGGAGGATGTCAGGACTTACCTTAAAATAGCCGGTTTTAGCGAAGAGCTGGTACTTCCCGTGAGCCGTGATCAGGGAGCCGTAGCTGGAGCCTCTCTGCACGACACGAGCAGAAACGAAAGAACAGGTTAGATCCTATAGAAAACATGGAGCAGGTATGAACAAAGTCTCAGATAAAAACAAAATAAAGGAGATGTTCTGACAGTTACACACAAAGAAAGTGTTTTATTTCTCATGTTTTATTTCACTCATGTTACAGACGTCCGCTCGCTTCTTTATTGGTGTAAATATCATCACACGCGGCGGTGGACAGGTGCAGATCACACCACCGAGCGCTGACAGGTTCAGTGTGTGCACCTGTCGCTTCTGCATCTCAAACAGTCAATCTACAGATCCTCTCACAGCAGCAGAACCATGAGCCTCCTCAGCCTCTCTGCACCTTCCCCAGACTCTTTGTTCCTCCAGTGTAAAGTATAAAGGCTTTTGTTGGTGGTTCAGATGTTCCAGGAGCCTGTGTGCAGACGTGAGTGAGTCTTGGAGCCTGTGGAGCTGTTCTCCCCCTCACACTCCTCACACTCCTCACACTCCTCACACTCCTCACACTCCTCACACTCGCTCTGGCACCGAACCACCACCCGCTGGAAAATCTATTAGGCTGGAAAACACATTCTCCTGCTCCGGCCTGTGAGCGGGTGTGCACGTGAGGGCGCCTGTGAGCGTGCACGTGAGGGCGCCTGTGAACGTGCACGTGAGGGCGCCTGTGAACGTGCACGTGAGGGCGCCTGTGAACGTGCACGTGAGAGTGCATGTGACAGTGCATGTGAGAGTGCACGTGAGAGTGCATGTGATAGTGCACGTGACAGTGCATGTGAGAGTGCATGTGACAGTGCACGTGAGCGTGCCTGTGAGAGTGCACGTGAGCCTGGCCATGAGAGTGCATGTGAGAGTGCATGTGACAGTGCATGTGAGAGTGCATGTGAGAGTGCACGTGAGCGTGCCTGTGAGAGTGCACGTGAGCCTGGCCATGAGAGTGCATGTGAGAGTGCATGTGAGAGTGCACGTGAGAGTGCATGTGAGAGTGCATGTGACAGTGCATGTGAGAGTGCATGTGAGAGTGCATGTGAGAGTGCATGTGAGAGTGCATGTGAGAGTGCATGTGAGAGTGCACGTGAGAGTGCATGTGAGAGTGCATGTGACAGTGCATGTGAGAGTGCATGTGACAGTGCATGTGAGAGTGCATGTGAGAGTGCATGTGAGAGTGCACATGAGAGTGCATGTGAGAGTGCATGTGACAGTGCATGTGAGAGTGCATGTGAGCCTGGCCATGAGAGTGCATGTGAGAGTGCATGTGAGAGTGCATGTGAGAGTGCATGTGAGAGTGCATGTGAGAGTGCATGTGACAGTGCATGTGAGAGTGCATGTGAGAGTGCATGTGAGAGTGCATGTGACAGTGCATGTGAGAGTGCATGTGAGAGTGCATGTGACAGTGCATGTGACAGTGCATGTGAGAGTGCATGTGAGAGTGCATGTGACAGTGCATGTGACAGTGCATGTGAGAGTGCATGTGAGAGTGCATGTGAGAGTGCATGTGACAGTGCAGTGCACTTGTGAGAGTGCAGGATGTGAGTGTGCACTTGTGTGCAGTGATGTGAGAGTGACTTGTGAGTGTGCCTTGTGAGAAGTGCACGTGCATGCACAGGCGCTCGCAGACGGAGCCGTGCAGTGGGCCAGCGTGGGTCTGAGCAGAGGGACCAGGAGGACTCGAGGGAAGACTTGACTTGAGGGAGGACTTGACTTGAGGAGGACTTGACTTGAGGACTTGATTGAGGACTTGACTTTGAGGGAGGACTTGACTTGACTTGGAGGAGACTTGACTTGAGGGAGGACTTGACTTGAGGAGGACTTGACTTGAGAGACTTGACTTGACTTGGGAGGGAGACTTGACTTGAGGGAGGACTTGACTTGAGGAGGACTTGACTTGAGGGAGGACTTGACTTGAGGGAGACTTGAGGGAGACTTGACTTGAGGGAGGACTTGACTTGAGGGAGGACTTGACTTGAGGGAGGACTTGACTTGAGGAGGACTTGACTTGAGGGAGGACTTGACTTGAGGAGGACTTGACTTGAGGGAGGACTTGACTTGAGGAGGACTTGACTTGAGGAGCACTTGAGGACACATCACGCAGCAAAACTTACACCTGAAATGTTTTTAACAGTTGCATCGATCTCACGTTTCCTCTCAAACCTCCAGTCAGTCGCTCAGACTCAGGTCGGCCGCTGCAGAACCACAACACACATTTTCATCCAAAACTCCAAATGTCGACGTGTTTTCATCGTTCGGCTCCATTTCCACTCAACGTAAACAAGTGAAAACCTGCTCCTGCCAACCAATCACAGACTTTTACACCTCAACCAATCACATCCCTGCACGTCCGTCCAAACAACAGACAGACACAAAGAACAAAAAAATAAAAAATAAAAAATAAAAAAGTAGAGTTGAGTTGAGTTTACGTCGAGAACAATCTGAACGACCCCCAGTGTTTTCCTCCAAGTTCAGCACGGATTAAAACGTCTCATAAACAGTGTTGTGGAGTAACAGATTACATGTACCAGAGTTAAGTAATCAGAGTACAAATTATGAGTAACTGTAATCAGTTACAGTTACTGTTTCAGTGAGTGGGAATTGGATTACAGTTACTTTGTTGAAATAAATGGATTACACAGAGGGATTTTCCTGTTTTCACCTGTTGGGCTAAACCAGGACTAAACCAGGAGGTCTAAACCAGGACTAAACCAGGTCTCAGGAAACCAGGACTAAACCAGGAACTAAACCAGGACTAAACCAGGACTAAAACCAGGAAACCAGGTCTAAACCAGGACTAGGACTAAACCAGGTCTAAATCCAGGACTAAAACCAGGAACAAACCAGGTCTAAAACCAGGACTAAACCAGGTCTAAACATTGAGCATAATTTAAAGCAGCAGTGATCTCATATAAAAATCATTTCTCTGTCAGTAATAATTTGAATATGTTCAAGAAAAGTTTGCGCTTTTTATTTTCTTTTAGCAGATAAAACTAAACATCTTATGTTCAAATTTCCTGGTCTTTTCTTCTCTACAGTAAAAACAGTTTCTTATTCATGGAGATTTGGGCTCAACAGACAATTTGAAGAAAACAAACAAGAATTTTCAGGATGTGGTTGGTTCATTCATTCTTTTTGACAATATTAAATAATCCAAAGTATTCAGATTACATTACTCACTTTAAGTAATTAAATGGATTATGTTACAAACTACATTTTGGGGGATGTAATCTGTAATCTGTAGGGGAGTACGTTTTAAAAGTAACCACACACACACACACACACACACACACACACACACACACACACACACTACACACTCACACTCACACACACACACACACACACACACACACACACACACTCACACACACACACACACACACACACACACACACACACACACACTTTCTTCTCCACAAATCTCTCCTTTCACATTCGACTCTCTTCTGGAAAAACCTTGACATTTGTTAGTAGTAATAAGCCTGGTGCAGCTCCAGTGAACAGCTTTGAGAACTGCGCTCTTTGGTTCAGCTCCATGTAGTGTTTGGAGGCTCCGGTCGGGTCGAGTCTGTGCCAGCAGCAGCAGCAGCAGCAGCAGCGAGGAGGAGGAGGAGGAGGCGGAGGAGGAGGAGGAGGAGGAGGAGGAGGAGGAGGAGGAGGAGGAGGAGGAGGAGGAGGAGGAGGAGAGGAGAGAGCGCCGCCGCCGCCGCCGCCGCCAGCCCCCGGACGCTCACACCAGGACCACTATGTTTCTAAACTCCGGCCGGTTTTACAGTGCGCTGCGACGCCAAATGGGCCAAAGACGACAAGGGAAAGTATTCAAAGAGGAGTTTGTGATGTCGCCCCGTGGCGAGAGGGCACCGGGTTCAAGTCTCAGTTATAACGTGAGGTTTGGTTTGCCTCGTTAAAGGTGCACGGAGTCACTTTTTGGTTGGGGGTCCGTCACCTGCTTGTCATTGCTCTGCCTCGAATGTTCCACAGTGTGACATTAAACTAGGGTGTAGGGACGGGCATTCGATGAAATTTTCTTAATCGATCGTCGAGAGAATTAACGATCGATTATCGATTAATCATTAACATTTTTATATTAAAATGATCATCATTATTATTACTAGCTGCACTAATCTGCATAAATAAATTCAACTTTACGACAAATAAACCGTAAACAACTCTAGAGCCACATCAGCCCGTTTGACATTATAATGTGTTTTAATTCAGTTTTGTTCAACTCTCACAGAAACAAAACTTAAAACTGCATCGCTAATTTGCATAAACTCAGCGAAGATAAAAAACTACAGCTTCTTGTCAATTTCTGTCGGATTAAAAAGACATGACTCAGGTGAATACAGGTTAGTGTGACCATATTTGCGTTTGTCAAAACCAGGACACCGTACGGGGGGAGGGGGCGGGGCCTCGTCATCGAGATTGCGCGACTCTCACCTGGTAAACTTTTTCCCACTGGACACAGAAACATATGTGCTGCTTTATCCACTGTGCACATGGACTCACACTTGTCCCGAACGGAGCGGAAAGTGTGGAATTTCTTGTACAAATCATCGTTAAATACGCATATGCACTTCGGCACGTTACAGACTGACCGACTGTTTGTGTTTGCTCGCTCCTTCTGATGCAGAGACACATGTACGGACCCCTGTTTGGTCGCGCTACGCACAGCAACCTACACTCGGTTTGTCGATAAAAATATACGTAATCGATGAAATCTTAATAATCAATTATCGATTAATCGACTAATCATGCCCATCCCTACTAGGGTGACCATATTTGTTTGTGAAAACCCGGACACTTTACCGGGGGTGGGACATTGAGCTACAGTCGTCCCTCGATATATCGCGGTTCACCTTTTCGCAGTCTCGTCGTTTCGCAGTTTTTTTTTTGTGCAATTTAGCATGCTTTTTTTTTTTTAACACACTGGTGGGTCAGGACTACACCAGGTCTAAACCAGGACTAATCTTGGACTTAAGAGAGAGAACCCCGAGCAGTTTGTCCGCAAAGCGCGATCGGGCGACTGTCGCGTTTCCCTCCGTGAGGTGCGGAGCTGAGCCGGTCCTTTCTCCTGCGTCGCCTCCGAGTCCGTCCCGACAGTTAAGAGCCGTTCACACCAAAGCGTCAAAAAACGCCTTGACGCCTCTATCTGGACGCCTTTGCATTTGGGTTTAGACGCCCCCGATGTGTGTCTTTGACGCCGTGGACGAACGGGAGAAAAATACTTGATGCGCGTCCGTTGCCCTGGAAACAGACCAGACTGAGAGAGACTTTAGTGTTTTTATGACATAAAACATCAGTGGAGGAGATCGGGTCGACGACTGGGGTGTGTTTATATTTATACTCCACTAATGACACTGGATCAGTCCTGGTTTAGTCCCGGTCTAGTCCCAGTCTAATCACGGTCTAGTCCCAGTCTAGTCCTGGTTTAGTCCTCGGTCCGGTCTATCTCGGTGATTGTGGGTCTAGTCCGTGCTTCCTGGTTAAGCGCGTTGGTTCTGACGCTGCGTCTAGCGCGTCTAGACCGCCGACGCCAAAACGCTCAAGACGCGCCGCGTCAATGCCAGATTCGCCGCGCTGACGCCGAAGACGCGCCGCAAAAACGCAGGATGCTCTAGTCGCGTGTCCACATAGACTTTACATTGAAACTCAACGATTTGACGCTTTGGTGTGAACGGCCCTTTAATCCTGTTTCAGTTCTGGTTGTAGTCCTGGTTTAGTCCTAGTTTACTCTTGTTTTAGTCCTAGTTCAGTCCTGGATTAGTCCTGGTTTAGTCTTGGTTCAGTCCGTGGCGTAGGCAGCGCAAAAGTTTGATATAATCTCGGGTTAACAGGCAGGTGCGGGCAGGTGCGGTCCTGTACTGTGCGGGTGCGAGTCTCCAAAAATAGACCCGTGCAGGACTCTGCACTGTCGGGCTCCATTACAGAGTAAATGAATCTTCGGTTCGTTACATAAAGAAGGAGGAAAATAACAAAAGGACGACAGCAGCGATAAGTTTTAAGAAGGATGTAAAAAGTATAAAGTTTGTGTTAAATGCACATTTGCGTTTCAGCATGTTGCAGACAGATGCTACGAGAGACGCTCAGTTTAATGCCCCCAATGAACGGTAATGAAAACCCGGACATTTGCATCACTTAAAAAAAAAAAAAAAACCCCGACACCCAGGACAGGATGTGAAACACGGACATGCCCGGGGAAAAACGGACAATTGGTCACCCTAATTAAACAGCCCTACCTTACATTTATTCAGTTACAGGTGGTTTTACAACTCGCCTCTCCACAGATCTGACCTGTAACTTGGTCTGGGTTGGTCTCCATGAAGATTCCAAGAAAGAATTAACACCACACTTAGACTAACGCCGGACGTACAATGTGTGACATTTTCGATGGTTTCACTCAGCTCCAGCTCAAACTGTACGACCAAAACGCAGGGTTAAAAAGTTCAGTTCACGATTCTTGTTCTCACACTGAATGAACGAGTTCAGCAAAACCCTCACGAGAGGCGACTGGATTCAAACAGGTTTGATTTTCTTGCGACCTGCGACTGGTTGTGAGGCTTTAATCGGTTCTCGTTACTCCATGTTTATTACACGAAGCACGACACACAAAGACAAAATTTGACCCGATCCCAAAAACAGTTCGCCTGATTCATGAGCCGGTTTCACTTCGTGGAAACTGTGCGACCTCGCAGCATTAGGATTCATTTTCTTGAGTGTAGGCAGGTACTTTTTTTATTTAACCAATCTCTGCTGTTTGGTCGTGACGTATGTAATGCTCCAAATCCTGTAGGAAGAAGAACAAATAACGTCTTTCCTCTTGATAAGATTCACCAAACATTCTCTTTGTTCCGGCTTTAAATCCTCGATCTCCTGAATCGTTGTCAACACAGAATGTCTGTCTTCGTCTACATCCATCTCGACGTTTTGTTTACTGTTGTTCTGTTCCACAAAAGGGACACAGACAGACGCCACCAGTTTGACGACATGACTTCACAGCTCACAGCTGATTGGTCGATGTGCGGTCTACAACTTCCGGGGTTTTTACAAATCGTCTAGTGTATTTTGATTCCTGATCTGAGCTGGAGAAACATGAAACTCAGCGGAGGCACTAGGTGGCACCAGTCTGGCTAAAAAACAGTGTCACGAGTGAAAAATCATCTTAAAAAGGGCCAAAAATCGCACGTTGTACTCAGTGTTTATTGATCCACAAAGGGAAATGATTCGCTTAAACACTGTGAAACATTCCAGACAAAGCAACAACATCTCCAATGAGAAAAGCAGTTGACGAAGCTTCCACCAGAAGTTGCACAGTGCACCTTTAGGCCTAAACTACAACTGGCTAATAGTCCAGGCAGGTGCTCCTGAGTCCTGACCAAGATCCTGGCTCAGATCCAGTGTTCTGTCGAAATGGGCTACCCCCTCGAAATGAGCTCCCAGCAGCCTAAATCAACAGCGATGTCTGTCAGTTCACGCTGCCCTGTCAAAATAAGCAACCTTACCTTTGTCCATTTACAGTTGTACAGATCCAATAAAACCTGACCTCAACAGTTTTCCAACATATTTCTTTGGATTAGGGATGTGGGTTTGATGCTGTTTGCACACGGTGATCACACTTTATACTTGAGTTATGTCAAGTTTAAACTAACTTACATGAATCTGCATAGGTAGTTCATTTGGACAGTCGTATTCTGCTCAAATAGGGCTACGACTAAAGGGAGCACATATCGACAGGCCAATTTATCCATCCAATAATCTTCCACTGTAGAATCAACATTATTTACTCATTTACATGAATAAGGATAGAGGTAACTCATTTCCACAGGCCCATATCTTCCATCAAATAAAACTCCAACTACAGACGAGAAAGAAATGACTGGAAATACTACAATCTTTATATTATTATTAACATCACAGGCTGCAGTGTGAATTTCCTATTACAACGTAGTGATATTTTATTCATACAACCCCTTCCTAAACAAAGTTACAACGTTTTCTACATACGGAAACGAAATAAAATACGATCAAATATTAAATCCAAACTATTCAATCATCTAATGTAGGTTTTCTGCCGCAAATCCAACTCGCACATGTCGATGTTTAACTGGTCAAACATACAATCAAACCAAAAACAGTTTTAAAAAGTGACTTGTTACTCCACTTCTGCCTCGGGAGCTCAAATAAACAGGACACCGGCTCAGGTTAACAGGATTGTGCTGGTTTAAAGAACACATTTTTCTTTCCTGATCTTTGTTCGTGGTCGTTCAGGTGTGTGGAGCAGAGTTCTCACCTGGGACAGGGTGAGCCGGCTGCCCGCTCGTTTGTGGTACTTGTTGGGGCTCTCGAACTGCAGGTCCTCCCAGCGGATCCTCCACAACATCCCCGCCAGCTCCTTCTCCAGCTTCAGCTTCCTGCACAGGGACACGAGCACAGAGATTTGTTTTATAATAACAGCAACTAATCAATTAATCCAGTCATTATTCAATTGTTTAAAGTCCTTATATTAAACAACACTGACTCTTGTGAGCTTCATGAAGAATTTATCCACAACTATCACGGTAAGAAAGATGAAAGCTTAAAGGAAACAACAGCGACGACGCATTAGTGACACTGAACTAACTAATGTTATGATCATGAATAAGGTTTTAAATCAAGAGAGTCAAACTCAAATTCACAGAGGCCAAAATTTAAAACAGGGACCAAGTCGAGGGCCAAACTGAATATTTATTGAATAACTTCAGCAACATCTGCGAGTTTTCTCTTCTTTCCAGATCTGTAATGTTAAACCTTTTCTTATTAAAATAAATGTTTAATAATAGTTTTGCTTAAACATTGAATCCAGAACAAGTAGAAAATAAAATAATAACAACATTTTAGATAAATAATCTCTCTATAGTTTATGTGTATCCAGCGGGCAGCACTAATACAGATTTGATATGATCTTGCGGCCCAAATATGATTATATCGTGGGCCAAATTTAGCCCCCGGGCCTGAATTTGACATGTCTGGTTTAGAGTAAAATGTGAAATGTTCAGGGATCGTAACTGTATTATAAAGAATTTTATACATAAAAACACAAATTTGATAAATATTAATCTATTAATCTAAATATTAAGAATGTTCAGTTTGATGAATAAATGAGCAGACGATGTTTGTGGCAGGAGTGAGATGCAAATCGAACAAAACGTTTTCGCACCAATAATATTTTGTTGAGAGTAGAGAAAGTGCAGACAGAGATAAATTAAACCCAATGTATAGGCGAGTTTCATTGTTGACAAAAGCGCGCGTTGCATGCTGGGAATTATTTTGGTCGGCGGCAAGAAACACTAATTCAACATGACGGACGGAGCGAGAAAGCACGTAAAGGGTATTGATCCCGGTTATTTATCCACTCTAACGGCAGAGGACCCAAGACCATTTGACCAGAAATTGGTCAGAAGCATCGATGGACGACAAATCACCCTTTTCAACCCCGACAAAAGGTGGAACAAACCAAATTTCTGGTCAGAATCGCCAACTACCTGGACAAATATTCACTTGGGCGATATCCACAATGACTTGGTGGAAACTCCTGGGCCATTCACAGCAGAAAAGATGAAAACCTCCAAGAGTCTCGATGTGTTGTTGAACTTGTTGGAGTCCACGGTTTGTTAGGATCTTCTACGTTTGCTCTGTGAATGTTTGAAAGCCGTTTAATTCACCGTTAGCGGTTCTTTACACTTTTCACATTTTCCTTCTTCCGTGCTTCTATTTGTGCGTCCGATAATGCAGCAGGAATTTACCGTCATCGGGGATAAATACGCGAGGTTACGCACTGTGTTTGACGCTACCGTGTTTCTTGCCTCCGACCAAAATATTTCCCAGCAGCAACGCGGGCTTTTAATAACAATGACGTCAGCTGAAACTCGCCTATAAGTAAGTGTAGATTTTGAGTCCAGAATTGTTCAAACTTTTCTTGAATAAATGAAGTGTATCTAAACTTTGGACTGGTAGTTCATGACGCTCTCCTGCTCCATCACCTCCACAGCAGCAGCAGAACCTCAGAGCCTCTTCATCTCCTCCTCCTCCTCCTCTTCACTTCTTTTTGTTTTGTTGCCTCAGTCCTTTTCAGCTCCGCACATTTGGGCCAAACGCTCACGATGATTATTTACCTAACAGGGTTTACACAAGCGGTCGGCGGGTGCCCTCCGTGTGCTCGACTCGCACGAACTCCAAACTCCACGGCGACTTCCAATCACGGGCACAACGGGAAAATAAAGACCGGGCTAGATTAAAGGGCCCGTGAGTTTGAGAAAAACACATGGCCCTGCCCCAGTGCCCCACACGTGTTGTACTCTATTGTGCTCTTCACTCAAATAAATCTGCTGTCGACGAGGATGGTCAAAAGTATCGAAACTAGATCATCATTTTTTGCAGATATCGATACTAAAAAAGTCCAACTGACAGGACAGAAGTGAAGCTTTCCTGAATGTGTTTAGAATGATAAATCAGAACAAGTATAAGAGCACAGAGACTAGTAGTATCCACCCATGGACCTGGTTTAGACCTGGAACCTACCTGGACCACTGAGGGATTACCGTATTTTTTGGACTATAAGGCACACTGGATTATAAGGTGCAATATCAGTAATGTTGAATTATCTCGTCTATTTTCATACATAAATTGCACCGGATTATAAGACGCATTAAGCGAAACAAACGGACGACACTTGAGTCTGACCGTTAGTCCAGGCGTCCACGATCCATCCACAGATCGTGGTGTCACTCGCCCGGCGTTGCCTCCCTGTCTTGGTGAATGTGGATTATGATTAATTTAAGTTTGTTTTTTTATTTCCTACGAGGACGACTCAAATACACATTGAGTAATAATGTGTTTAATGCAGCTTTGCCACATTTGTTTACGTTTTACAGAAACAAAACTTAAAACCACATGACTCATTTGCATAAATTATAAGATCTGATAAAAACAGCTCTTTCCTTGTGTGCTGATGAGGTTCAGCTTCTGTCGGACTCCATGAGGCTCCAGACTATGGAAGCCATAATGCTTTGACAATCCCTCAAGCAGTGCGGCTTCGTAGTTTACCAAAATCGTACAAAAATATTTTGACAGATTTTTGAGCACTGTGTACCACATAAAATCGGTTTGAGGTCAGCGAGCACAACCAGAATTAATACATAAGGCGCACTGTTGATTTTTGAGAAAATTTAAGGATTTTAAGAGCCACAGGAGGCGCCAGTCGTAAAAACTGTTGTTGTGTCCTTAGGCAAGGCACTTCACCCTCATTGCCGAGTATGAAAGTGATGAGCGTGAGTGATTATGGTGGTCAGAGGGGCTGATGGTGCAGTTTGGCAGCCTCGCTTTTGTCAGTCTGCCCCAGGGCAGCTGTGGCTACAATAGTAGTTTACCACCACTGGGTCTGGAGTGAATGAAGAATGTTCTGTAAAACGTCTTTGAGAGTCCAAAAAGCGCTGTATAAAACTGATGCATTATTATTATTAAGTGCTCGTTTACACTTACGCAGGTATTTTTAAAAACAGAAACAATTCCCTTTGTTTGTTCCCGTCTTTTACACTCAAACGACGAATTTGCCTCTGAGAACGAATCTTTCTAAAAACTCCGGCTAGAGTTGAGATTCTGAAAAACTCCGGTTTGGCGTTTGTGTGTAAACTGAGATAAACAGAGTTTTATCAGAGCAGCAGTCACATTTCTTCTGCTGAGACACTTTTCATGTGTTTCATTTGCACACACAGCTGATGTTTCATGTCCATGACCAGAGACCAGTGAGGCTTTAACAGATCTGTGGAGAGGCGAGCCGCTCACTAATGCACGTTGTTTTTCAAGATATTTGTGAGTAAAACTTACAACTGAAATGAAATAAACGCTACAGGTTTGAGTCTAATCCAGAGGTTTGGGGTGGTTCTGACGGCGCTCGATGGAGGATTTATTCGGATCGATGTAAACGAAAACTTTTTTGAAAACAATGCTGTGTGCACAATGTTATTTTGGATATTGGAGAGAGGGAAATATTAGTTTCTCAACACACCAGCTCTGTGCAAATGCAGTCTAAGTGCTCCTTATAGTCTGAAAAATACGGTACACAGACATTAGAGAACACACATGGGAACAGAAAAAAAAGTACAACCATTTAATGTTGAAAATCTGATTCTATTGTCTAAAGAAAAGAGTTTTAGAAAACAAGTATCGTGACAACACATTGTATAAACAGCTCCTGACGTCAAAATAAGTCAGATTCATTGTTTGAGCATCAGAAAGTGAACGTTTTTGAAAAGCGGTGAATAATTCCGATGCTCAAAATACATATGATAAGTGAGGAATAACTTTTGACCATTGCAAACAGTTTTCCACATTGATTTTTAGGAGTATTTGAGAGATTTTAGTGTAGTGATCATATGAATTTGAAAGAAAAAAGGCGAGCAATTTGAGAACGTGGAAGATGACTGAAAGAATTGAAAAGAAGCAGAGCAGCGGTTTAATCAGAGCAGAGTGTTCTCATCAAAACGGCTTTCTTCATGATTATAATGTATTGTTTGTGGCTTTGTGTTCACAGTCATTTTTCATATTGACTTTTGGTTTTCGGAGACATAACAACAGGCTGGTGCGGAGCTGCAATGAATGTCGGTTTTATTTGTTGATCCACAGCTCAATAAACATCGAGCAGTTTTACAAGAGTTTGCTACGATGAACATACACAGTGTTGAAATACTAACCAGCGTTACAGCACAAAAATATCTGACAACATAAACAGCGAGTTTGTCTTATCACCTCAGTACTGAACTCAGGGTTCCCACGGTCACGGAAATCCTGTAAATTCAATGAAAGTTTTGGAAAAATCATGGAATTTTAGTATCTCTTTCACGCAACTACAGCGTTTCTACAGCGTTAAGTTCTCATGAGGCTCTTCTGATTATTTCCGAACGTCTGCGTCTTTGGTTTAAAAAAGACGACAATAAATGCACTGACAGGATTTTGAATGTTAAAAAACTATAATCCCAAACCATAAGGTGAGTGGAAAAAGTTAACATTTCATATTATTATTCATTATTATCTACGAACCCACTTGGATCTTGGAAATCACTTTCGTCACTTTCGTTGGACGTCACTTTCACACTTTTTACTTTTTCAGTATTTTATTATGTTCACGTGTCCGACTTTGTTCAGTATTGGCCTCACCACAACACCGACTACCAAACTACAGCCCTGCGACGCAAGACTGTGGTGCAGGACACAATTTGAAAGCTCAATGCGGAAGCGGGCGGGTGGGATGATAAACTACAGTGATTCATGTTTGCCTGTCATACATAATTTGTGGTGGATATTTTATTAATAAAAATCATTTTAAACAGCCTAAACTTGCGAACGTGGACTAATCTCGCACACATTTTAAAAACTT